TTTCTAGTTTCCAGACAATAACTTGTGTGTAAACGTATGGATCTCTATGAAATTGTACTACAATGTTCCATACTACAAAGGAAAGGCTGGGATTGAGTTTTGGGGTTATTGCTCCAAGGGGGTTTAAAAAAGTTGGGGGAGGGGATTTTTTTTTCCAATTTTTTAAAGGATTCATATTTTGTTTTTTCAAAATTTTTCAAATTTCAAATTTTTGAAAAGTTTCAAGAAGAAATCTTCAGTTGCACAGTATTGCGCAATAGATTTGTAAGATCTTTGATCACATTTATTTTGTGTCAGAAACCTATATTATGTCAAAAATTTGATCACAATCCAAATTCAGACAGCATCAAGTTTGAATATTGTGTCCAAATTTGCCCAAACTGTTCTGGGTTCGACCTCTGCAGTCGTATCAGGCTGCACTCAGCGAAGCATTTTATTATTTAAGTAATTGAAAAAAGTAATATAACAAAAATACTGAACTCCAAGGAAAAGTCCCTTATCAAATGGCAGAATCAAAAGCTCAAACACATCAAACGAATGGAAAACAACTGTCATATTCCTCACTTAAAAACTGATCGGAAGGAAAAGGTTTTAAAGCCTTGCAATTCAGATTTGAAAGAAAGGCTGGCATATTTGCCATCTTTTCAAAATCTCCATGAGCAAGAGGACCTAATGTTCCTCTTATATTGTCATAAGTGTTTGGTTTTCCTGTTTGAATTGTTTTACACTAGTCATTTTGGGGCCCTTTATAACTTGCTGTTCGGTGTGAGCCAAGGCTCTGTGTTGAAGGCTGTACTTTGACCTATAATTGTTAACTTTTTATACATTGTGACTTGGATGGAGAGTTGTCTCATTGGCACTCATGAATACCACATCTTCTTATCTATTTTAATCTATTTCTATATTGTTTGAATGAGTTTATATGTGCTTAAATATTATCTTGACTCATTTGAGTGCCCGTTTTGAGGTGTTAAGTTTATATAATAAAGAATTTCAAAATTCAGGTCTACACCTCTCATGGGAGAAAGCCCCCATAAATCGTGAAGTTTGGCAGGTCTTGGATGGTCTCTGTTACAAGAAGCAATGGAAATTTGATTGAAAATATAATAGGCTTCTTGAATTAGAATTTCAGTTGGAGATAAAAAAAGTACTTGCCGTATGACAATTCTGAAAGTATTCAAAGTCTTTGAAATTAAGTTGAGATTTAACAGTGAAATTTGACATTAAGAAAACTGCAGGCACTTAATTGAAATTATAACAGAAAGTAATGAGTCAGGTGTTAGTCAATAGTTGCATTCTAATTATCTAACCAGTACAAATAAAATTGTTGCCAGAAGAAAATTGAGGATTACTAAGGAAGTTATGGAAATTCTTACTATCACAAAAGGCTGATGGTCTTGATGAAATTTCCATAGGTTAATTACCATCTCAGATTCTATAAATAATCAACAAAATTTCATTTAAAAAAATAAAATAATATTGGAAATATTGTAAAAGTGACTTTTATACTAAGTTAAGTTGCACAGAATTAAGTCTAGTCTAATACATGTACTAAATGAATGAACGATTGAAGCATTTTGTCAGTGTTGTTGATATATGATATTATACAAATTTGAAACTTAATATTGATTGTATCCATTGAACTTTTAACATTTATGAAATTCCTGAATAAAAACAGGTTAAATTGGAATTGAAGTATGTTGAAATTTAAATGGATATATAACCATGTAGTAAAAATATAATGATTGTGACATTTTGAAACTTTGTTGTAATTACTAGAATTGATCAAATGCTGTCTTTACCAATGTTATAATTCAATAGTAAAGTATGACACCTATCAGATACAGCTATTGCTCTATTTCTAAACATCAATCCCTGCACTGGCTTGGGATGTCGTACAAAATCCTTTCACAGCTTTCTATTCCTCTGTGGCAGCTAATGATTGGATAGGTTGACAGCAGGCCTGCCAGTTCACTACTGTAATTGAGTTGATCGTTCGGAGGCCGTAATTTCATTTGAGTTTTCGTAATGATATTACTATAGTTGTGAAGACTTTTATTATACACATTTATTGATAGAAATTAATAAACCTTGATGAACCTAAAGTATTATATATAAGTGTCATGATTTAATATATTACCAAACATTATTTTGTACTTGTCGACAAGAGCGATCAACAACCTGGATCAACCTGTAATGGTGCAAAGTGATCAGATTTTTCTACCGGAAATGACAAAAGTTTGATTTATTCCTTATAGTTTTAAAAATGATCCTTTGTCATGTAATTTTATGATTAAGCGCATCAGAAATGGTTATGTAATAAGGACATAAGATACCTTAATCAATTTTCATGGATATGAGTGGCTTCATGATTGATATTGGTAGAAAGGATAAGAATGTATTTTGAAAGATGTAATTACATTTTATTTTAACAGGTGCATATTTTGTCACACTATTAGTAAACATATTGCAATTGAAAAAAAGGATGATCAAATTAAAATCCCATCTCTTTTACCTACCACTGTATATGGTTGGAAAACTCTACCAGAGTTTGTCTTATTTTTGTTGAATACTGCATGTTTTTGTTTTAGATCTAACAAATGCTACTCTAAAGTTAATGGCCTTTTTCAGGCTAAACAATTTCATGTTGTGCTCAGATCAGATTAGCTTTTTCAATTATATTTATAAAAAGATTTTTAATTTTTTTTAAGTTCAACAATTTCAATAATGTGGGAAAGTTTCTATTAGAAATCTCATATAGTTGCTGGTCTTATTTCATATCAGATTTTAGTAGTCCCAAGCTGCTAAAAACTGTGTGTTGGCTGAGAGGAACATTAACTTGGACAATTACTTACATGATAAACATACCATCTGTTACACCCACAATAACAATTAATCTCTTGCTTTGTTGCAAACTCACACACCTTTTGGTGGTCTTGTTGGTAATAGCTTTCAAAGTAGCAATGAAACAATAGGTGATAATGATCAGTTTATTACCCTTTAATGGACTCTCTTGACCTCTGCCCACTAGTTTATGAGAAAAGATGAGTTAAAACACCTACCAATTTTCAATTTAACTACTTTTTCAAGTGTTTGTATGATACAGATTACTCTATGTAAATGAGTAAATTAAAAAGTGATTCACTAAATAAATGACTGCACTGCATTTATAAACTGTTGAAATATGATTAGTTTCTGATTGTATTGCATTTATATTATCCTGTGATTCTAGACAAAGATAAATGTAAGAGGCATTTACACAGACATTAGTTATTTGCATGCAATGTTTAAACCTAAATGGATTAACTAGAAGGATTTATGTCTTATTCTGAAAATTGAAAAGCTTCGCTAATTATTTACTGCCATCAAGTTTTAAAAGCACCACATCTGTATGACCTAATTTCAAACAGTTGGGAGAAAACAAGTTCTAAATTCATCCTTGTTTAATTTTGTCTTTTTCGTGGTCTATAATTCTGTCTATCTACTTGCCTGTCATTCCAATTGTGGTTGTTTATCTGTTTGTTCCCGTTATATGTCTCATGTGTCTGTTTAACCGATATCTCTATCCAGCTTGCAGTTATAAAGGACTATTTTCTAACAAGGCGTCAAGAAGAAGCATTCCATTGACAAAATTAACCTAATGTCATCTATAAAAGGGCTTTGAAAACAAGTTCAGGGATAAACTGAAGAATCCCGATTTAGAAAAGAAGTTGCTAGTATATAACAGTTTTAAGCTCTTAAAAATCTGAAAAACAATTTTTCAAATATAAAGATATGGTATTAAGGAAGATCATTGTTACAAAATTATGACCGTTACAACCGTAGGACATTTTCATTGGTATGTTTATTATTTAGGAATCATGTAGTCTTTTCCTTTATGAACATGACCTCAAAAAAAGAGTGACCTCCCTTGAATTTGAACTTTTATTCAAAGTACTGAAGTACTGAACATCGGATGACCGCAAGTTCTTGTAGATGGGCACAAGCACTTGTCTCAGAAAAAAAAATCACATATCTATACCTGAAAGTGAGTTTAATGTACAGAGATATATTTTTTTTCTGAGACAAGTTCGTGTGTGGATAATGAACAAATGACAGGGAATTCAACCTCATCGTAATAACTATTATATTGTAGTGATACAAATCAGTACACTCTGGTTTGTTGTTATATATTATACTAATATTTGTATATAACAGTTACATGTATATATCATTTCATTCATTTATATATTATTCTATTCTACTATTCTAATAATAGTGCAGTGCAAGTGCATGGTGGACACTCTTCTGTAATAATTCGATTTTTCTAATAGATTGAATTTGAGTAGGCATTCATATTTTCCCGCAAAACGTTCTTGAGATATTCTTCCACATGCGTATACACAATTTTTCTGTACGTGTGCTTAGATATTATTAATGATTTTTTTCTTAAATATATATTTCTAACGACAAAACATTTTCATACTATCAATTTATGTTCTAAACAAAAATATTTTTATGAGTATTCATTGAAGAAATGAATTTATAACAAGCGATAAGGAATGTTATTTTGCACTCGATAATGTCCGCGTATTTATAGATCGGTTACCAGTCAAAAACCAAAGTTATTTTAGTAGAAATCTCTGTGGCAACAATACATCGGAATGCCCTCACGGTCATCGCGATGTAAAAAGTAGTTGGTGCAGTTATTGTACTTATACATGAGAAGAGTAAAAGGTCAAACAGTATGTGTACTGAAGAATGTAGTTAAATTGTCTATTAATTTTCTGTTTGTTTGTTCACAACATAAATGATATGAAAACTAAAAATTAACAACAAAAAAAAAGAAAAAAAACCCAAACTTTTAGTTTGAAAAATGACCATCACTTTATGTATTTTTTAGCGGATATATTGATGATAAAATCTTTTTACCTGACCATTCAGAATTTGTATTATAATTGGTGATAATAAGATTGTTATAAGTTGAACATTAATTTGTTTCCTGTTTTTATCCACTACAGACACCATACCCAGGATGGGGTAATTACAAGTTAGAGGTGAGACCAAGCAAAAATATCTCTGTGCACAAATACATTACTACAATTATTATATTATTGCACTTAGTGTTAATATCACTATAATCACATAATATCATAATTTAGTGTTTATTTCACTATAATCACATAGTTTAGCATGTAGCAATGACACACGAGCACATACTGCATGTAATATACATGGTAATTTTAAAATTGTGTACTGCCATTTCATCTAGACCTGTAACCAGCACTAAATTATAAGTTGGGAGAATAGGTTTACCTATGCCAGGAGTCTGATTCACAAAGGACTTGTAAGAAATGTGTGATAGATTAGGACTAGTACATGCCTTTAACTTTTCATTTCTTTGTGAATCAAATATACTGAGAGTATTGCCTTTGAATATCATGAGCAGATCCAATTGGCCTCTACATACCCCCTTGAAAATCCTGGGTTTTACTCTGAATATGCTGGTTCTTCTAGAATGATTGGAAAGTAAGAATATATAATGGGTAGATGCTGATAGTATATACTTTCATAAAATTTTTAATTTTGTCAAAATATAAGTGTTTCAGTAAAGATTTCCTGAGATAAAACACCTTTGCTCTAATTGCAGTGAAAAGTTGTTTTTTTTTCATCTAAACTTAGTGCTCAGTGGTAAATCGTAAGTTAATAGATTTTTATTTCAGAATTTTTGATATTCCTTTGTGTTCTATTATCTTTATTCACATACTATTACCATTAGTCAAAATTTATGAGCAGACAAAAGAAATGATTTGGATTGTGAAAACCAAACTGAACCTTTGCTCCCTTTTCTCTTTTTATGTCTTTGTCAAAGTGAAAAGAAAACTGAAGTAATTGAAAATTTTATACATGAAATTAATTATTGTGAATGAAAGCTGTTTCCGTGACAGTTTGCAGACTATTGGCTCCATGTATAAGGAAACAACTGTTTTATCAAATGATTTATCCATGTAATTTGTTCAAAAATTTGATAAAATGTTCAGTTTTGTTATAAAATTTCAGTGATGGCTAAATCAGGCTGGGAGATTGAAGTGTTTCTTTTATATCATCCTATATGTTATATAACCATTGGAAACCTTTTAAGTTCAGATCATGCCACCTAGACAGTTAGTTATTATAGATTGTAACATCAGAGAACCCTTATCATACTGAAATATAACAGAAAGCTAACATTTTTACATGAAGATTTTTTCATTGGCTATTTTGCAATTGATGTATTTTTGTCAATCATACTAAAATACACATAACAAGTAGTATTGTTTACAAATTGTTTACTCTTTTTTATGTACAGATGTAGTAAGGTTAATGTTTTGTCATGGAAAAACTCAATATTCAGAATTTCAGATTCAAAAATAGAAAAGGAGGGGTACACAATGTATTTTGTACTGAACATTTTCAAAGTTTCATTGAAATCCAGTCAGGAGTTTTGGCTACACTAGCCTTTCTCGTTTTTTAGATATGACAAAGGTCCAAAAACAAGTCTAAAATCTGATATTTTTAAAGATTATGGGGTTATGTTTTCCTCATCTGAGACTTCTCACATAAATTAAATGTTACTTATTATAAGAATGAGGTTTTATGCTTTCAAATTGAAATGAAAGCCTTTTCAAAAACTATCAACATTTTTATGTTCATTATAACATATTGATAAAATATTAATATTTTTGCTCATTTTCTGGCAATAAAATTAGGTAAATGACCTTCAATGAAATTAATTTATTAAGTTATATACACACTGACTTAATTGTATAATTTCAACAAAAATGACACATGTGATCCAAATTTGATAAAAAGACTTGTTTAGAGGTATTCTGGTTAATCAGTTATTTATATCCATTTTTATACGACGGCAAAAATTAAAAATTTTTTGTTGTTGTTGTTGGTTGTATATTGGTATCACGTTGTCGTCGTCGTCGTCAGCGTCGTCAGAAGACAGATGGTTTCCGGATAATAACTTTAGTATAAGTATTAGAAATCAATAAAATTTTAACACAAGGTTTATAACCACTAAAGGAAGGTTGGGATTGATTTTGGGGGTTATGGTCCCAACTGTTTAGGAATTAGGGGCCAAAAAAGGGGCCCAAATAAGCATTTTTGTAGTTTTCAGACAATAACTTGTGTTAAAGTGTATGAATCTCTCTGAAATTATACCACAAGTTTCCATACTACAAAGGGATGGTTAGGATTGACTTTGGGGGGTTATGGCTCAAACCATTTAGGAATTAGGGGCAAAAAAGGAGGGAAGACAAGGGTTTTCCTGGTTAAAAGCGTGAATATTGTGTCCATTTTGGCCCCAACTTTTCAGGGTTGGACATCTGCGGTCGTATCTAGCTGCGCTCAGCGAAGCAATTTATATAAATTTGAATTCTTATTTGCAAATTTACTTAACTATAACATTTTTACAAATTTACATTATTTAGTATGAGTTGAGGATGAAGTATTTATCAGATTTTCTTTGTTATGTTTAATTGTAAAAAAAATAATTTTTCCATTTGTTTTATGTGAAGTCATTTTTTTTTCAAACCCAACAGACAACAATTGAACATGGAAGAAAATCTCACAGATAAACTATACTGCCATACAGTTTCCATTTTTTTACATCAAAATCATTCTTATTCAATAATTAAATCTTGAAAACTACACAACCTCAACATAAGAATGATTGTATTGTGAACCAAAATTACCAAATTATGTTTTAAGGACCAACAATATGACTAAAATGAAAATGAACCCTTAAAAACCCTAATTTCTTCATTTTCAAAAGATTTTGTGTTTTGAGTCCATATAAACATTTTTTGTATTTTGTATAGAACCCCATGTGTTGACTTGCATAGTCACATAGAAATATGATCATTTGTAGACTTGTCCTGAAGTATATGTGTATATGTAAAATAATGCAGCCACATCTGGTTGGACATCATATCTGATGCCTTGTGTGGTGAGTGCCATGCTTTCTGCATGTTGAAAAATCTCTGCAACAAGTTCTCTAAGGGCTAGTTGCAAAGCAAACTTTCTGCCCTTCTCCGTCATAACCTCATTTTCAAGTGGTAGTCCAAATTTCCCTGCCTTCAAAAATCTATCCACTTACCTTGCAAAACATTCATTTTGTATTATTTGTTAATTTTTGTTCGTCCTTAATATGCCTTAAATATTTGCTACTAGACATTAAGCAAGCAAAAGTTCATCAATCAATAATAATTATGTAGTATAATTTTTTTGTTTTAGTCAGTCAAATTTGCTCTTTGTTTGCAGATAATTAGACAGGAGTTGATCAATAACGTATTTCTTTTTTGTTCTTGCACCTCTTACCAGACAAAGGTGGGACTGCTTGTCCTTCAAGTCTCTGGTTGAAAGTTGTCTCTTTAGCAATCATAGTGCATCTCCTAATTTTATAGCTACTATATCATCCTCTTTCATATGGTCTCTGGTGGATAGTTGTTTCACTGGCAATTATAACATATATCTCCTTATTTTCATATGGATTAAAGTATATGGTTCCATGTTTTGTCTTTTTATAAAAATGCTACAACACATTGCTAGGACATAGAAGATATGAAGAATTCATATTTTTCGAGTCAAAAACCATCATTATTTAAAAGGACCCTGCGTAAATAAGCAAAAGTAATTAGATTATGGTTTTTGAATTATTTATGTATAGGAATATTTTGGATATAGCTATCAGTATATTTTCAATACGTAATAAATAATGACTTATGTAAGAGTAAAACATTCTCCATTGTTATCTTGGTTAATGGCTCTCTTGTGAAATCGAGTCCAGAAATAAGGATTCTATTGTATGTATTGAAGAAATTTGGTAGAAAGAATATTACACAATAAACTATGTTTTCTTTTGTATTGTTTATTTGTTTCATTTGCCTTTAGGTAACATTGCAATATTGACCTTGCCCAAGTTATTGACCTTGCCCAAGTTATAGACATGAGCCATTAGGTTCACTTTGTCAACGTATATGTGTTCAAACTGAAACATTCAGGTATGAACAGAGCTATAATAAATAATGCTCCTTTTGGAACAAAAATTCTATGTCCTTCATCCCAACAGGAACAAACCATAATATTTTTTGGAGTAAAAATAATATTCCAGAGTATATGTTCCTTTTGGAAGTAATATTGTAAAGAAACTAAATTTATTCATTGTTAACTAAATGTCCAATGTGAACTTTTGAAAGATTGACTCTTGGTTAGATAAAATTTGGAAACCTAAGACACCATAGGAAAGATGAATGAGACAGGTTTGAATAAGAAATAGCTACTGTCAATTCAGAAATTATTTCGATGTTTTTATTAGTGCGAAATATGCGACAGGGTTATAATCGCAATGATTGAAACTCGCTTTTTGAAAATTTTTATATGAATTAAACCGGATTTTTCTCAATATCGCAAAAATTAAAATCGCATTTTAGTCTAAAATGACAAAATCGCAATAATAAATGCACGCAATAATTTCTGAATTTTCAGTATTGCTAAGTTTTCTTCTTAATCAACCATATATCAATCAAATTCGGTAGAATTATTAATGGAAAAAGTATTTTAGTAGCTCTTGTTTTACCTGTTTGTTTAAAATTTCAAAAATGTTGTTGCTTTCTGTTTGACCTATGGTATTTCTATTATTTCCATTCAAACAGTCACGGGTCATGAATTAGCATGAATTACTTGCCACTGGACATTTAGTCAAATCAACAAGTTTTTTTTGCTTGAAAGCAGAAATAAATTTAAGTACATTTAGATTCTAGTAGATGTAATAAAACAGCTAGAAAAACACCATTTAATTCTTCTAACCCTGACACTAAATACTTACTTTGTTGATTTTAATGGCATGTATTTTTAGTGTAGTTTTGACCATACCTGGGAAATATTGAAAATCAACAAAATTAATTATTTTTTGAAAGATAAGTTCAGTTTTCCCTGATGAAAAGAGTTGATATTTTAGCACTATGTGAAATACAGTATTTAAGGTATAGGATATTTGCACAGTTCTTCA